GATGCTGACATTAATGCCCCAAACCCCTGCATGCCTTAGTAGTAGGCCTTTTGCGCCTTGGTAGGTTCTCCCTAGAATGCTAGCTTGAGTGTCCCTGAGGAAGAGGCTAGCGAGAAATGCACCGGGTCTAATAACAGCAAAGTCTTCTTTCTGCCCATATGGAGGTTTTTTTCTATCCATTTCCTTGTAGTTTGTGCCTTTCCTTCCTTCCTCTGTCCCATTTACCTTAGTCCATCCTTCCTGACATTCCATCCTAATCCTTAAGAACAGCTGAGAACATGCTCCTTATTTTGCCTTCCATAGCCAAGATCACACTAGAAAGCAGCTTTCTTCTGATGCCATCTTGACAGAGGAGGATGAGCATTGGAGTCTTAATACGGCCAAGGAGCACCACATTGGAAAAGTCTGCTGTAAAGGCATGGAGGTGTTCCAGCTATCTGTCTCACAGTTGCATACCGTGTGAGGATTAAATGAAGCTATGAAAGCTGCCTTGGACTCCTCACAAGAGGAAAAAAGCTGAGTTGTAAATGCAAAATAATAATAATAATAATAATAAACTTCCCCGTCCTGGAGACTCTATATTTTTTTCCAGAGAAATGGCACACTGAACAGCTTTTCATGTTTAAAGGGTTTAAAAAGGTAAGCACAAATATTATTTCTGACGTCAGTCCTCAAACTTGCTCATGTATATTCATTTTATTGAATTTTCATTTGAATGTTGTTGCTCTCCCACCTCCAGCCCTTGGTTTGTTTTAGTGTAGAAATGCCACTAAAAGCATAACCCTATGCTTGTTTAGGTAAAAAAAGTCCCACAACTTCCATCATGCCCCAGTCAGCCAGGTGAGGGCGGCCAGTTACAGTCCCCTTTTCACCCTGTATTAATAACTTAAGTGCCACAATAAGGATTTAATACCAGTCTACTTTGTGGTCGTGTTATCTGAAAATTTCAATACTATAGCATTTCCATGTTTTAAATATCAGTTATTTTTATTCTTTATTCTTTTATTTGTATCTTTTATTCTTTATCTTAGTTGGGATAATGCAAAATGCCTCTTATCTTGACAAACTTTGCTGGGCTTTTTCAGCCTCATCACTAACCAGTCTCAGCAAGTGGGCATAGATTGTTCACCTTTGCTGCTCTTATTTCACTTCCTTATGGCCTTGCACAGAAAGACCAGCTCTCTGCCTAAGCCAGAAGAACACCTTGACTGTTGAATGAAACAGCGATTCGAGCAGGCCAAGATCATCTGATGCAAGTTATGCTTGTAGGAGAACCTGTTCAAAGCAACTGTTATTCTAACCTGTGGTCTGTAATGAAAAAGCTGCATTCCTGTTTGTCTATCAGCACTGTAACATGAAGACTTGTGAAAGGCAGACACATAAAACTTTGCACACATGCCAAAGTGACTCCAGGGCACTGCACCTCCATATTTTTGTTGGTTGGTTGGTTTTACTGAAGCAAGATTGTGGCTAAAGCCTGCACTAACCTTTAGCTTTACAACCCAAAGAGTTTGAGGTCCTGGGAAATTAATAGACTGAAGGACAGTAGTGTATCTGCCTCTTCTCCCCTGCTGGAAGGCAGTCCCACCTCAGTGGAATGGAGTGAAAGACCCCCCCTTGTAGGGCTTACAGGGTGCACGCTGTGAGCCATGCACAGGAGTGGCAGCAGCCACAGCGTAATTCATATTGGGCAGGCAAAACACATCTAACTTTTGATACCTGCATAAATTTGCTTTGCTATTTTAGACACTAAGGGATATTCCAGCCAACTTGCCAGTTTTAAGTAGAATAATTAAGAAATGGTTTATTGCACATCATTTAACATAAAGAAATGAGATGTATGGAAATTTTTCCTTAGAACTGGGAATGGAGAATCGGGAGTGAAAGTGACTGAACTGTTAGTTTGGAAGCAGTGTGGTGGAAGAACACATTCATATGGTTTCACATCATCAGTTCCATTCTGCCAACAGCAAGCACAGCCGACCAATCCCCATGCAATTAAGTAGTTCATCTGTACATTATGCAGGTATCTTTCCCATAACATTTCACTGTTTATTATGAGGGAGTGTACTTAAGAGATCTCTGTGAAAGCTGTGAATTGAATAACCTGAGCCTGGCTTTTAAGTTGTTAAAAAATCTTTATTATTACTCTCAGAAGGTGCAACATATAACACTGATGATATAACTAAATTTCAATTACATTACCTCTAAATATTCAAATCTACGGTGCAGTGCCCCACTTGCCTGTCAAACAATAGCACCCATCCACCGCCCCACTTGGTTTGGATGAGACTGGGTCCCATCCTCTTTCTATGGGCTGAAGGGAACAAACTAGTTTATGGAGCAAGGTTTAAAGGGAAGGCTCTCAGTTTGACAGCAAGGAAGAGTTAGACTTGAGAAAGGAAACCATGTTGGGGAGGCGCTGCACAGAAAGTCTATTGTGAGGACTACAATTCTGCACCAATCTACAATGTTCCTAATTCAACTCATCCTGGGGGGGGGGGGGGGGGGGGGGGGTTAGGCCATGTTTAGATGTGATGCTTAGCGCAAGGCCCAGAAATGAGAATGATTGACAAATGTATCCAGCCTTCCACACAACTGCTTTGTCACTCAAAGCTAGGCATCCCAAGGCAGTGGTGATTTTCTTGTCAATGCCTACACACACCCCAGAAAGGTGTTGAGGGTGGGGAGATAGGAAGGCAGCCTTCCTCTCTGTCACAGCTCTGAGGAAGACAAGCTCTGCAAAGGAAGGCACTGAAAAAACAGATGGTTCTGCTTCAGAGTGGCGGAACAAAACTAACTGCCACGGACTGAGCCTGATTTTGAATGCAGTGCTGGAGACATTCGAGAGGCAGCTGGGCAGCCATCTCATCTCAGGGATGCTTTCACTTGGAGTCCTGCCCTGAGCAGGGGCTTGGATTTGATGGCCTTCTAGGCTCCTTTCAGCTCTCCTGTGAGAGTGGTCCCCCCCCCCCATCCCTCAGCTTTCTCCAGGTGCCCTGTGCTGAACTGTGACTCTCATCTTCACCCATGCCAGTTGGGAATGATGGGAATTGTATTCCAGCACATCTAGTTCCCCAGATTGGGAGAGGGTCCTGTACAGAAGCACGACTCCTGCTCATGCCTGCTGCGCATGGCAGCCAAGACTGGTCTGCAGGTGCCCCATTCCTCCAAATGCAGGCCGGAAGAGCCGGTGAAAAGGCCTCTTGGTTAGCGATGCCCTTCTTTATGCCCTCCTCTGGCAGCGACTGGTGTGTCTTGGTTTCCCAGGCCCTTCAAAGCATCCCGCTCAATGGAGTTTTAAGCTGCTATCACTTTCCACCCTGCTGTGATGCTTATGTCTGACCCTTTCTACTGTTTTCTTAATCTGATTTAAATTGTTCCATTGTGATGCTTTTTTACTTCAATAGGCAAAGTATCATGGAAGTGAAATGGTGAGCACCAGTTCATCAAATGTCATGCTGAACTCACTCAAGTCAAACTAAATTCACAGGAAACTTTGTCACCCCCATTCCCGCCCTTCTTGGCATTCAGGAAAGCTTTCACTTGGTGGGAGTGAACACAGAAATTGCCATACTTAAAAGAACACCAGGGACATGCAAGCCCAGCGAATCCAGATGTTCCTCATTCTGCCCAGATGCTACAGCTAGCCCCACTGTGGTATTTGCTTGTGCGGAAGGAAGATTAAAAGAAACTGGTTAGCTTTATGAAACAGAGTGGATAATGCTTTCGCTTCCAATCAATGCAAAAAAAAGTCTCTGCAAAGCAATAAATGGAGTTTGTCAAGGTTCAGGAGACAAAGTAATGTTTTCTTGAAAAATTCTGAATTGCAAGTAGACCAAAGGAAAAAAAAAAACCCCAAAACAAAACCCAAACCCAGCCATGTTGCCCATATATAAAGAATCCAAAGTCCATATACTGTAACAGCTTAATTAGTCCAAGTCACTGGGTTCTAATTAGGCCACCTCAAATGGGGGTGGGGGGGCGAGAAGGCCAGTCAGGCTCCCCTTTCCTCCTATCTCTGTTTGTACTATATGGATTTTAGAATTTAACATAAAATCACTGTTTTAATAGCAGTGTTTATGCTCTTGCGGGGTTGAAATCAACACATTCTAACACTCCGGTTTAATTCTTGGTAGGCATATATTGCTTGCATTGTTAGAGGATTACTTCTAAAAGTAAGAAAAAGAATCTTAAGTTTTCTATTTTGTTTCTTTAAATGTGCACAGCCAAGCCAAGAAGCCACTTCTGTAGATGCAAAGGTGGTCTAAAGCCTTCATCACCACAACAAAAAACAAATTTGCTCCCCCTAAATCAAAATGGGAAGCAGCCATCAAGTATTTCCTTTTGTTCATTCCTGTTGATGTTTTGCTTCTGATAAAGGCTGAGTACTCTGCAGATACCAAGTTATGGAACATACACAGTGAATTAATAATAAGCAAACTCATGGAAGGCCCTATCTAAATTAGGAAGGCATTAGGAAGGGGGGAGGGAAAGTTGACTAGCATTTTGTTTTGTAATCGTTGTTGCAAATATTTGAGGCCTGGAATTGAAAACCACCTTCACCACCCTAAGGAGGAACCCTTTTTGCATTTCACACAGGCATCCAAGCCACACACTATGTCCTGCATCCCCGGTTGCTTCTGGTGCCAGACGATTCATGTCCTGGATCTACAAACTGAGTACTCACTCCTGCACAGTCTCTAAAGGCAAGATTCGCAGGTGCTTTGGGTTGTGCAATCCTGTATCTGTCTACTCAGAAGAAAATTCCACTGAGTTTACTACTGCTTACTCCCAGGTAAACTGGCACAGTACATTGCAGCCTAAATAGCAGCAAAACCATCAGGGCATCAGTTTAAATAGAATTACACACTGTAGTCTTGACAATGCTTGGAAGAGGATGTGTGGCTTTTGTGATTAGTTTGTACCCTTACTTTCCCTCTTCTCTTACCATTCCTTTTTCCTTGTACATCACATCTTTTAGACTGCAAACCAGTAGGCAGGGATGACCTCCTTTTATTAATTTTAACCTGCTGCAACAGCTGCTGATTGAGGAGCAGAGTAACAATACTGTGAACACATAAATGCTACATGATGAATAAAACACCTTCATGACTAATCTGTTGTAGCATGAGCCTCTGTAGTAACAGCTGATTTCATCAAATGCAAGCAACTGGTCCACTTTATGTAGGTAACTAAAATGCCTGTAAAAGTTCATTCAACCAAAAAATAGTAATAACTTAAGGGTTCCGTTCTATCTATGTTGAGGCAAAAAAAGTCTTACAATTCCAAACATTCTCTAGCCAGTCATGGATGTTATAAGACATTTTTCTGTCAAAACATACATAGCATTGTGCCCTATGTTGGCCTCCTGGCTGTCTTTGCTGGAGGATTATGGCTACTGTTCCATAATCTATACTATGATGGAGATACATGTATCTATGATCACAAGAGGTTGTGATATTGTGTATATTTCTTTGGATGTCATATCCTGTAATATCACGTTCCTCTGAAGTGAATATGCTTTCCAATAAGCACAACAAAGACTGAGATAGAAAATGGTGACTCCAACCATACCTAATTCAAAACAAGATCTTTTCAAAGTGAGTGATACGCCACAAGCTTTCCCCTCCAATACACAGAACTGCAAAACGTAATACAAAATAAATTCATAACAATTGGTTCTCCAAGCTGGTGATGTTACAATGATGGAGCCAAAAGACCACTCCATTGGTCCACAAGCTACTGCAGGGCATGCTTTTGTACTCAGATGGCTTCGGGTCTTATGCTTTCAGTTCTGAAGCTTCCCCAAGGCTTATGTGGTCTCATTTGGCGACTGGTCTTTTTTCTTTTCCTTTTCCTGTTGCTGTATTCTGATTTATGAAGATTACTTGGCAAAAATAGTTTTTGCTCTTTAACTTCTTTTGCCAATAACATCTGCCTGATAGAAGAGTTTAGGCACCGTGCTGGATTATTCACAGTGAGGAGCAAGCATGGCCTTAGCTTCGCCGGAGTGGATGCCACATGGACACAGGCTTCCTCAAGGTGGCCAGCATCTGGTTCCAGTGTGTGATGCCCATGCCACCAGCAGCCGGGCCTATGACAACATGGCCAATGTTTTCAGCTCTTCCATCTTCACAACATTCTGCAACCGTCACCCGAAGGGATAATTCCTGTAAGGACACAAGTGAGTATTAACAACAATTCCCCAGACATTCGCACTTGGAACTTTGTTACCTTGAATATGAGAATACCACCAACTCAAGAGATTGCTTTAAGATAAAGGTAGTCCCCAAGTTACGAACATGATCCAACTTGCATACAAATCCAACTTAAGGATGTTCTCAGGAATGGAACTTGTCTGTAATCTGGGGACCACCTGTACAGTGGTATAATTTGTAGCTTGAAGTTTAGTCTTATATTTGGGGAGCAAGATGGAGCCCAATGTCTTTGACTCTCTCTGTAAATTCCATTCTCTTCCTTTTGGTATGTATGGCTTTGTATGTATGACTTCGCTGGTGGTATGACTGACCTACAGGATGTTGTTCAATAGGATGCTAAAGCAACTACTCTTTCCTGATCAGCCACTGGCAGCAGAAGCTGCATCAGCATATACACAACGTGAGGACCTGTTGCTGAACACACATCACTTAACACTTGCTGATATTAAATTGCATGTGTCTTTTAAGTCTCTCTTCCCCCAGTTTGCAGAGATTCTTTTGGAGCTCCTTGCAATCTCTTTTTATAAACCACTTGAGCAGCACAATCCAACATGGTGGCCTGCAGCCCTTCAAACTCAAGGATTACCATCATCCAGGATAAAGCAGGGGGGATGCAGAGATGAGGAATGCCTCCATACTTCCCTTGTCTGCAGAACACTTTATGCAGCCGATCTTGCCCAGCTCTGACCTCAAAGTGCTCTGCCGAAGTTGGAGATGGAACTCCAATTCTTCCTATGACCACAAGAACACATCCTAAATAATTCACTATTTACCCTTATACCAGACCATTTCTGAAGAGGTTAAAAGGTAACTGCTGCACTGGTACCAGAATCCTTGTAGCACATCCTAGCAGCTGCTACTTGCAAACAACTCTTTCCTAACATGAGTGCCAAACTGAAAGGTGTGACAATCTGAACTAATCTGAATTCAGTTCAGTTGGACCTCATATGAGGCAACTGGGCCAAAATAAAAAGTATCTCTGGAAAAATATGTATAAGCACTGTGGAACATAGACTGAATTTCAGCTAGTCAGCCCTTCCCATCATGAGCTGAAGCATCTTAGTTTCAAGGTATGATTTTGTATTAAAAGCTCCTGTACCCTAAACTAAGTCAGCAGTTAACTCTATTTCCTGCATTTTCTTTCTCTGTATCTGCCATGTCCAATTTTAGACTATAAACTGCCCCAAGAACGGGCATATCCTCTACACAGGATAGGTCCTTTCTTCAATGTACACTGAAGAAACTATAAAGGAGGGGAAGGAATGGAAATAGAGCAGAAGGGCAGGGAATGAGGGTGATGGCATTCCCAAACATTCAAACACAAAGGTGCAAATAATGATCGGGTTAATGATGCATCAATGCTTAGAGACAATGGAATTTTTAAATCTCTGCATTGGATTTAAAGGAAGTATTCATCACATCTGCCCAATCAAGTTACACTCAGCCATGAGGACTAGAAATGTACTGTTACGTAACAAAAAAGGTCAGTTTTTACATGAATAAAGAACAGGAACTCAAGTGTCAGCATGCTCACTCTCTCTATATGAGAGATATAACGTACTGCAAATTGTTAAGAGTGTTGCACTACGACTCAGCAGACTTGGGCTCCAGTCCTTTTGTCCATGGGTGAGTTTGGGCCACTCATAAACTTCCAGACTAGCCTTCCTCACTGAGTTGTTGTAAGGATAAAACAGGAAAGAGGAAGATACATTTTTTGAGGAAATTTATCTGCCTGACCCAAAGAGCCAAAGGCAAATTTGCATAGTCACTGGAGAAGGTTTCTACAATGCAGAAGGGTGTTTATGCATCCTTTAGGCCCTAGTCCTGCTCTTCATTTTGTTCTACACTGTTGCAAAAATCAAACAAACACACAATGCAAAATGAGCTACAAAAGACGATTACCATATGCTAGCAGCAAACCTGCCCTCTGAGGGGATTCCTCCAGGAAGCAGAACTTGAAGCATAAGGCCCTGAAGGAAACTCACAAGCCAGAACAGGCCAGCTTTGGGTGCCCCATGAGCTGAAGGTTCTGTACTCCAGTCTTGTGTCACGTCAAGAGCAAAATCAAAGAGCCATGCTTGGCATCCTACCAGAATCATCTGATATGGCACAGAGATGGTGAAGTCGTTACCCAGAATTCTGGAATGGCTGAGTGGAAATGGGGGAAAATATGGACTGGGAAAAAAAAACCAAAACGGCTCAATCCCTGGACTTCATATGCTGCTTTGATAACTGCTGCGTGTCCAACAGTAGCACAGTACAAGTACTTGGTGACTTTTAGCAGGAGGAAAAAGAACGCAGAAATGGGAGGGGCTTTTGAGTACTAGCAACAAGGGCATAACCTGGGAAGCAAACAACTGGGGCAGTGATAGGATGCAACTTAGGCTGTGCCACTTTGATGTAATATGTTCAGGAGTGTGCAGGAGGTACAATTTAAACCACAGCATGGGCAGATGCCATGGACCCCTCCTATCCATAATTCCCCTCTCCTGGAAATCACTTCATCCCAGCAGTTTTTCTTCTAGCTATGTTATTCCCAGGGAGAAAAGAACAGCTACAGTTTTATTTGGGGTGGGTAAGGTGGAGTATAGTCCATTCACAGAAAAAATGCAAATATGTCCCACCCCCTATCTTGGACTTTACCTGGTTGCTCTAACCTTAGAAAGCCACTGTGATGCAATGGTTAGGGTGTTGGATTCGGTACCCGAGAGATCTGGTTCTAGTCCCCACTCAGTCATGGTACTAGCTCAGCGACCTTGGGCCAGATGTGGACTCTCACCCTAAGCTACCTCACAGGGTTGGTGTGAGAATAACATGAAGAGGAGACCCTTATAACAACCTTGGGCTCCTTGAGTGAGGAAGAAAAGAGAGGTTTGGATGTAATGGAATTATAACAATAATGAACTAAAAAGACAACAATTTTGCTTTTATGTATCAGTCTGCCATCATTACCTGCAGTTTGAGAACAGGCTGCAAGTACAGCAAGGCAGCATGCTGCAAGCAAAATATGAAACGCAAAGATGCAACTGTGTGTCAACTTTGCTGCACACTGAGATTATGTGACTCTGAACCAGAGGAGTCTTGGCTGTTGGTACACCAAATGCTCATGGCTAATTTTAATTTAAATCTTAACAATGACCAGGTATTTCCAAAATTCACCTACCGTATAACAAGGTCTGCCAGAATCTAATCTGGCCTCTTGAACGTTAGAGATGCAGACAACCAGAGTCTGTGCCTTAGGCCCCTCTCCCATGTCACCCATGGTTAATCTGCCAACAAAATATCTCATTTTCTACTCCCTTTGATATGCAGCTATTTATGTTGCATCCACAGTGACAGGAAAAAACAGGCTGCTGGCTGAAATTTAAATGCTCAGCTAGCTGTCTGCTCTCCAAAAAGCAACAGACTAGGTGATACACTGATCTACATGTGATGGGTTGAGGATAAGAAACTGCCATTTCCTAGGATTGGCGTCTTTTCCTATTAACACACTTAAGAAAGTTTCCGAAATTCAGTGGGACTTATTTCAGATTAAACATGCATAGGACTGCACTGCAAGATGGCAATTTTAAGCCTTTCTTTCACTGTACTGCCACTAAAGACAACTGGACCTTTCCAGAATGCATGATCTGTTCCCTAGAACCTAAGGTTTGTAGACAGAGTGGGGTGGCCAGATGCAAAAGAAGAAAAAAAGGGTGGATCCCAAACCATTAACAGCAGATATAACTTTTCCCCGTCTGTCTCAACTCTCATTATCATAGAGAGTTGGAAGGGGACCAAGAGTTGGAAGGGGCCAAGAAGGGCTTTGGGTTCAACCCCCTGCTGTTTCAGGACACCAGCTTACACCATCCCACTCAGGTGGCTGTCCAGTTTCTTTTTCAATGTCTCTAGTGTGGGAGAGCCCACCACCTCTCAAAGCAACTGGTTCTACTGTTGTATTGCTCTGACAGCGAGGAAACTATTCCTGATATTTAGCCTGCATTTGGGTTCTTGCAACTTGTATTTATTATTCCACGTCCTACACTCTGGTATCAGCAAGAAGAGATCTTGACCTTCGTCTTTGTGACAGCCTTTGAGGTACTTACAGAGTGGTACCATGTCCCTCCTCAGTCTTCTCAAGGGTGAACATGCGCAGATCTCTCAGTCTCTCCTCACAGGGCAGTGTTTCCAAACCCTGGATCATTTTTGTTGCCCTCCTCTGGACCCTTTCTAATTTTTATATATGTCTCTTAATTCCTGGTGCCCAGAACTAGACACAGTATTCCAGATGAGGTGTGACTCATATGCTAAACTTCCTTCTCCTAAATTACTATTGAATGTGCAAAGTCCTGTTCTCCCTCGTAGCTTCTTATGCTAGCTGCAACAGGAGCTTTCTTAGGGGCAATAAACAGTGGCAAGTACATGCCAGAGCAGTTTCAGCTATTCAGTTGTGCCAGTCTATTTTTTAGAGTAGTTATGAAGAACGTGTCACCCTCCAGAAGTATTTAGACTACAATTCCCATTATCCCTCACCAATGCATCTGCTAGTTAGGGCTGATGGGGAGTTACACTCTCACACCTGGAAGCTACATGTTGCCCACCCTTGTCTTACATAGTTCGTTTCTTTTTTTAACCTTTTTCTTAAATGTTCTACTACCATTCTTATTTCTATCACTGTCCAAAATGTTAGCCTAGAGATGCTGCACCTTCCTTTCTTCTACTTATATACAGTCCCTCAACCAGTTTTGGGGAGACAATGAACAGAAGGAGGTAACACAATAGAAAAAGGGTTCCCAGGGCTGTAGTGATGCTTGTGAAATCCAAGTTGAATGTTAAAGATAATTAGTCATTAACTTGAACAGCCCAGTTTTGTAGCAGTATTACTCTCTTTAACTTGGTTCACATGCAACAAGAAACCATGGTTTAATTAACCATTGTTCACTGAATCATGGGCTCTTGTTTTTGTGAACCCAACATTGTGGGTTGCTCAAATATTGTTTTACCAGACTGCAGAGGAAGGAGCCAAGAATGGTTTTAAAAAATCAATCTGTTTACATGTCAAGTACTGCAGTGGCACAAAAGCAGTTATAATACAGACAGGGAGTAGGAAAAGAAGTAACCCAAGGTCTGAGAAAACAACCCGTGGTTTAAATAAGCTTAGGTTATGTGCGATTCAGGTCTTAAGAGTTACATAGGAAGGTTCTAAAATAATACTTCCAATAGCAGCCCCATCATTTGGAAAAACTTTGTCCTCCAATCCCCCAATAGGAATTGAACTGTGTGACTTCTATCAGCAATTAGATCTGCTCAGAACAATTTCTCTCTTGTTTGCAGAGGAAATCTCAAGAGCCTTTGAGAAACCTGCAGATTGATATACAATAAAATTTTCCCTCTTCCTCCCATATCTAGGACCTAGATATTGTCATAAGCACAAATTCAGAGCCTTTTGTCCTAGCCCCTGGGATTAATGAAGGAAATGGATAAGCCACAGCTGCAGCCCTTTGCTTGGTCATTATGGTAACCCATCCTTTTACTTGTCTCCATGCTGCTGCTGAGTAAAAACTTCATCCATATAATCTCTTTTTGAAGATGATTCTTTTAGAGATGTTCTATTAGCTTCCAGCACAGTTGCCTTTGAATGACTGAAAAGCAAATGAAATTATGTACTCGGCCTTCCAGGTGATGCAGTAATTTTGTTTACATCTCCCTTGCTGGCTTTGCCTTCCCAGAGTTTAATTTGCAAGTCTCTGCCTTGCACGCCAAAAAACCTTGCAGGCAGAATCTGTTGCCCATCCAGAGAAACTTGTGAACCGTAAGGGTTCAGGAACAAAAACTACCGATGTCAGCAGGAGTAAGAAATTAATGTAGTATTCCTGTTCTTCTCTAGAGGGATACTGATGTATACTGATATTCTTGCCTGGATTCTTCAGAAGGTCACAATCATTTGTCAGCATCCACCTTTAATATGGGCTTGTGGCGACTGGCAAAAAATGGATTTGACCAGTAGCAGCCAGGCATTTACAGAAACGGTTTGGCATGAGGACACAGCTGTTGCTCACACATCAAAATGGCTGGGTGAATTGGTCTTGAGATGAAATGGCTTCTGAAATAATTCCCATAGATGGAGCTTTTAAGGAAGATTTGGGGATAAAACTAGGACGTATTTGGAACAAAATCACATAAACTCCTCCGCATTTCTGGCACATTTCTCAGTTAGACAGTCTGATCCTATCAACTGGCCCCAGCTGCTGCTAAAATAGTTTGCTCTCTGAAAGCTATATCTGAACTCGGCACGTGAGGCAGAAACACACTGCTGAACCCCTCATGTCTTTAAAACTGCAGAGTAACTTAGGCGGCACCCCTTGTTCTGAAGCCAAGGGGCCTTGTGGCAGCCCATCCCTACCAGTGTGTGCCCAGCATATGCCCCAATGACAGCTTTGCATCAGCATGCTTAACATTTATCTTGTGTCCATGCACATGTGTAACTGGCTCAGCATAAGCGACAATGGCTGAAGGGTGCGTAGTTCTGTGGCAGATCACATACTTTGCATGTACAAACACCCAGATTCAAGGACTGGCATTTGCCACTAAAGAGAGGTGGGCAAGTCTTCCACTTGAGATTCTAGAACTGTTGTCAGGCATATGAACAAAGAAGGCTATTATCTACCTATCTACCTGCCCATGTCTATACAATCCAATAGCTCAGCGAGTCTTATTGGCTAATGCAATGGGATAAAAAGCTGAGAGACAGAGAGAGAGCGTGCGAGCTGAAGCTCTATCGTAGAGAGGAAAAATAGCTTGACTCAATGTAAATGGTTTATGCATTCGTATCTAAGTATGAAAGTCTCCTGGATCAAGGTGCACTGGGCTTCAGATCTAGTAGGTCAGCAGAGAGGAATCTGCAGACTTCCAGAGATCGATGGACTATTACTCCAATTAGCGCTGTACTGAGGGAAGCATCAGGCATTCCCTGCTACTGTAATACACCCTTCACTGAGGCTAAAGATAAGGGCAGGAAAGTAGCAACAGAACAACGGATATCCTGAAAATAAAACAACCTTCCAACCAGCACATGTAGGAGCCATGATGCCAATATCCCAGCAGGGCCTGGGCCAAGGGTGGATTCTTTAAACCCTCAGGAGGGATCGGCTGCCCCACTGCATCACAGTCGAAACCTACGTCGCTCTAGTGCACCACCACTATGATTTGCATGGATGACGCTCTGAGCTGAGCACGGTATCGTCAGGCCACGTTGGACCAGCAGACTCTTACCTGAAGGACAATTGCTGGCACTGAGAAAATCATGGCCTCGTTAAAGACTGGGTTTGTGTCACCCCTCTTCATTGCAGTCTTCTTCTTGCTGATCTTCCTCCCATCCTGCAGCAAGTACACTTTGACAAAAGGATCTGATAGGATGGTAAGAAGAGGGTGATCTTAATTGGGTCCCAGGAAAACAGTTATCTGTCTGCTGGCTTTACCTTGCAAACTGTGTACTATCTTGCTTTAGTGCTGCCGCCTGTAAAGTGCCCTGAAATGCCCTGTGTGTGCAGACCCTGCCAGGCTGGATTCTCTAAGTGCACACAGAACCTTCCTTAGCACCGTCTGGTGAAATCGCAGTTTATCTTTTTGTTAGGTCTGGTTCTAAAGTGTTAGATAAAATGTTAAAGTCAGAGCCCTTGGGATAGAATGAAAAACATACCAGTTAAAAGGCCTGGATAACCATCAAGAGCAATATAGTTAATTAAAACTGGAAACTAATTGATCACTTCTGAGACCCATCAAAGAGACTCACCTCCTACAGATTTTCAAATTCTGCTGAGGGTTATTTAAGTAGCTAAAATGTGAGGACTAAGGGAGGGACATTCCAGAGTATTTGATCACTGCCCTGCTGTGATGACACTCTGGAGAGGACCAGAGAAGCTTAAAAATACTTCCTGAAATTCTGTGTCCCTGTTTCCCCCTTGCTGAATCTTTCATTACTGAAAGAACTAATGACAGCATAACATAGCTAACTGGACTGGCAAAAGCCATTAACACTTTTATTCTTTCCATGTGTTTCTCATTATTATGCACTTTTTGTAAAACATTTATCTTGTTGAAGGTTTGGCATGGATTCCATCCTGAAATCAGTAGCAACAGGTTGTTCACTGTGCTTTCCACTACAAGCTTTGTAGTAGTTAATGTGTCGCCAGGAATTACCCTACTCACTGACTGGTTCACACAATTGCAGAGTGGTTAATACGCCACAGGATCCTGTGTCTACCACCCCATTTACATAATTGCTCTTCCTGGGTGTGGCTTGTTATGATGTGGTTGGAATGAATAACCAACCACCCAGAACCCATGGGCTGTTCTGGGGTGTCATCATGACAAGCTGTACATGGCCAGAGTAATTATGTAAATGGGGTGACATGCAACTAGCATAAGTGGATGGAAGTTTATTAACTACCCTTTGATTATGTGACTGCCCAGCATAAGTGATAAAGCAGAACCTTCCCTTAGTTGTAAATTCTTCTCAACTGCAGAAAAAAGCAAAATGTTTTATTTCAGTGCTGTTGATATAAGCATTTGTTATGCATTGATCAATTCAAAATCAATTTTTTAGACAGTGTAACATATAGTCATATGAGAAGTGAATCACATTTACTCAGAATATATTACATGGTTATTCTGAATGCCAGATGCTTCAATCAACTGAATGTACTATCAGTTATTGAAAGCTGATTAATTAATTATATATGGTACAGCCTGAGTCCAAAGCACACTCAGTGCTGTGAATTAAGCTCCAATATACTGTCAGTTTAATGTGATGTGTACATTCCTGTATATTTTTAACCATAATTATGATGGAACTGTTTGGGCTTCTCAAAGCCTAACAAAGAGTAGCTTGCAATCTTACAGTGGCCAGGAGCACTTCTGGAATACTTCTGGAAATCCTTCTAACACACTATCAATTGCCATTTCCTCAAATTTGCATAAACTGGCATGTGTGTAAAGGATCAGTGTCACTGTCTGACAAAACCAGCACATTCCTGTATCTCAATCCAATGGGCTTTATTTATAGATTTATATGCCACCCACTAGTGCTGGGGGATTGTCTTACTCTATTACAGTAAACAATCAATACTCCAGGTATTAAAACCACTGAAAAACAATAAAACCTCTTATATAAATCCAAAACAATATAATACTTGGCCACTAAAATTGTATCAAGTGAGCAGGACAACAACAACAGATTAACAAATTGATTTAAGTCGGTTATTAAAACAAGTATTGAAACATCTGAAGAAGAGGAATGTTTTTGCCTGGTGCCAATATGAGAATAATGTTGGTGCCAGGCAAATTTCTCTGCAAACGAGGGGCAGCCATCAAGAAGGTCCTTCTTCTGTTTGCCATCCTCCTCGTCTCCTTGAAGGATGGCTCTCTCAGAAGGACCTCCTGCCCTGATCCTAATGGATAGGTAGGTATATGTGGGAAAAGGCAGTCGTTTATGTAGCCAGGTCCTAAGACGTTTGGGGCTTTTATATGTAAAAGCAAGCACTTCAGACTGGCCGCGGGCTTCAACTGGTAACCACTGTAGCTTATATAGAATTGGTGTTATATGGGCCTATGAACTGGCACTTGCCTCTAACAGCATGGCCTGATTTTGGACCAGCTGGATTCACCAGTCTTCAAAGGCAGTTCCATACAAAGCGCACTGCAGTAACCTAATCTGGATGTTACCAGTGCATCTGTGACTATGACCAGACTCTGTCTGTCCAGGTAGGGGTAGAGCTGATACATACGCCACAGATGAAGGAAGGCACTCCTGGCTATTGAGCCCACCTGGGCCTCTAGTGATTGTCCTGGGTCCAGGAGCAACCCCAAGTGGTGGACCCTATACTTTAGGGGGTGCAACCCCATCCAGGACACTGCAATGACCCTCCAACCTGTTCGACAAACCACCTACCAACAGCACTTCCATCTTGTCTAGACTGAGTTTCAGTTTATTGGCCCTTATCCAGTCAATTATTGAGCTCAAGCACACATTCATTTATTTAAAAGATTTGTATGCCACCCAATTGTACCACAGCACCTCTGGGCGGCTCACAACACAACACATTCAACACAGAGACTGCCTCCCCAGGATTAGATGGGAACAAGAGGTAGAGCTGGATGTCATCAGCATATCCTATCTGGCACTGGGGCAGATAAGGAGGGCTCTTTACTAACCTGCCGTCACTTTGCCATTGGTCCAGATGAGATTCTTGGCTTTAACAACAACTACTGTTAATCGCTCTGCTGTTGGTAGATAGCTAAGAGAAAGCAGGATTTCACCCACTGAATCAGTTGCCTATAGAGAGAAAAAAGAGACAATCAATTGCTCATTATTCTATTAGTCTTGCAAAAGAACTAAGGGTAGAAATGAATTCCTTGTCTCCTGGCAGTGAGGAACATTAGAAAGTGATTGATGTAAGTATGATAAAGTTGGAGGACCAACAACAATGTTCAGAAGACCTGGGTGGGCCACCTGGAGCTCTGCCGTTCTCACACAGCTGAAGACGCTTCCATCCCCAGCACAGAAACAAAGGAAGCTGCTTTATCCTGAGTCAACCCTTGGTCCAGAACGCCCCGTACCATCAGTGCAATGTGCCTCTAGGACTGGGCCAAGATTTTTTGCAAAGCAGCAAGTGGGGTTCCCTACCCACCTCTAAGGAGAATAAAGCACAATGCTATCCAATGCTGATGTCTGAAGCAGAAAATTCCACACTACCTCCCCTCCCATGTGTAATAATAATAGTATTAATCCCAGGGATCCAGTCCAGCTGAGGCACCTCACTTCAGATTCAAGGAAGAATCTTAGGGAGGAACAGAACAACCTGTTTCAAAGTTAACATGCGGTTTACTGAATACATGTAGTGGTAAAAGCTAGTTACTTAGAAACTTTGTGCACTCCTGGTTCCAAGTGGAAAGCCAAAAAACAACGGCCTTTGCCTTGAATTTTATACCATTCTTCTCTCTCTGTTTCAGAGGCTGTCAGTATATGCAAGATATCCCCTTCCCAAGAGACAAGCGAGAGAGGTGAGAGAAGGCCCAGCTCTCCTGATTAACTTCAGCAACAAGGTGTGCAAACTTCCTTATGGCAAGGATGAATCAAGGAATTCATCGATTCTGACAGCTGTGGGGATCTCATATCTTCATCGAGGCCTTACATGGCAGCAGCTCCCACTTAACTTCTCATCTAGTTATTGATCCCAATAATCCCAGTAATGATTCCAACAACTAACAAGATGCTGCCCTTGCACGACACCCAAACTCACATGGAGATTGCCTAATGGGAAGGGCACATCAAGACAGCAAGCCTACCTTGTTCATGTCCTGCAGGTATAGCCAGGCGTTGAAAGGCCGGATAGAGAGATCCAAATCTGACAACTTCAGTTCTGCTACACCGGTACTGATGTTTCTTTCATCCTCATCAATCCCAAAGACAGAAAATCTCAGGCTGTTTTCCTCCAACGCAGAAGGATCCAAAGGGATAGAAAACCTCTCATCAAAAAAGACAGAGTAGGCACTCCTTTGAATCTGCACCAACAAAAGGAAAGAGTGATTAAAACATGGCAGTTGAAAAATCCATGCTATGAGTAACGGCATTTGTTAATCTGCTCCTTGGTATTTGCCCGTCCAGGAAAACAAGCGTATTTTTAACAGTAGCCAGCTGTAGAAGAAGAACACAATGAAGCTGACCATGACTTAAAAAGGGCACTCCATCTCACTGACCCTTTTCATCCAAGTGGAGAATTCCTCACAAGGGACCTGAGTAAAGAAAAGCGACAATCACAGGCAGAAAGTCAGCAGGGTACAAAAGAAGTGTGCCTCCTTAGAGTTATTAGGGCCTCTGCACATTCTCCCCACACACAGCATGGTTAACAACACAAGATAATGATTCAAATGAGCCACAGAGTCCTCTGAAAAGAGAGTCTGTCCTCTCTTCTAAACTCCTCCAGAAATTGGTGGGCTTCTGGAAGCAAAAGGTGCTGAGAAATGTGTTAGCAAAGCCCTCTGTGACAGTTAAGCCTTCTGTCTCATGATGATGCACCTCAGCCTCACAGCTATGTTTGTGAAACTGCCACGAAGCCAGAAAATTAGGGAGGGGGAGGGGAAAAAGCTCAGTCCTGTTTTGTAGCCATAGCAAGACTCAACATTAGTGCTGATGTAATGACTGTATCCCAGGAGAGCAAGAAAGCAAGCAATAGGCTGGTGTCAGCCTTAATTCAAGCCAGTTAAGGATCTGCTTCCCTCAAATATTTGTCTTAGATGCCTAGAACACTTCCTGTATTGCCATCTCTCTGGATTTCTCATATACTATGGATTGGCGCTAATTACTTTCTAATTGCTTATTGATCCCCTGATTTCTGCTGCTATACTGACAGTTCATCTTTTAACTACCCCTTGCTTCCAGCAGCACCACTGCAGTGGTCACTTAAGGATAATGAAGGATGCCTTCCTGAACCCAGGGGTCAAAGGGTTGGATGGAGTTTCTGGCCTGCTCTCCGTACCAAGTCCCTAACTTTGGCTTCTGTCCGGCATTCCTCTTTGAATAATGTGATCAGCACACTTTGCTGATTAGAGCATTTTCCTTGTGCTCATTCTCCAAAGCATTTGCATTAAACAATCCATGATTTAGCCACTTAAGCAACAACAGCTTCCAGAATTAGTGATTTTGTGCCAGTGAATGTGCCTGCGGCACAGCCAGACACATACTGTGGAGGCCACAGCCTGGACCCATTCACCCAACTAGCTTCCATCCTAAGGTTGCCACCTTCAAATCACACCAAGCCTGATGTTTATCACAAGCTCTGGCTTTGTGGAGAGCCACTGTCCCTTTTTTAAAGCACAAGCAGACAGCTCAAGAAGGGAAGGGAGCCTGATCAGGACCATGAAATGGGGAAAAAGAAGTCTTGGGTCCTCTGAGGTGGAGGAGGCCTTAACATTTTGCCTCTGCCAGAGTCCCATTTAGAGGTGTGAAGGCCTAGAAAACACACAGCCCAATAAAATAGAGGTGAGAGAGCTGAACCCAAAGAAATTAAGGTTAAGACCTTTTTATTTAATCAATATTTTAATATGTTTTAATAATGAATTTTACTGTTGTATTTTTATTAACTTGCAGCCAGAATGAGTTGTCAATTTATTTATGCTGTAAGCCGTCCAGACACACAAGTAATCGGACGGCATACAAATATTTATTTATTTATTTACAAATGAATGAATGAATGTTTAATGTCTCATTTGTTTTGTTCTACTTCCAGGCTGGCTGGCGGGTTGCATCCCTTGATTTCAGCCCATCAAGGGATATATTGCTCGCCCTGGGGAGTTCTTTTCCTGGGATGCATCCTATTACTTTTCAAACAGCCTTCCCCAACTTGTAGCCTGAGACGTCTGGAGGGCACCAACTCCCATCTTCTCCAACTGGTGGCCACATATGCTTGAGGCTTAAGGGGACTGCAGCTGAGATCTTCTGGAAGGAGAAAGACAGTTTTCAGAAGACTGGGAGTGTTAAGGAAACATGGAACAAATACCTCCAGAGTTCTTGGATGCTCGTACAATTTGGCCTGAGCCTTTCTTTTGACCCGATAAAGGAATTGTCCTGGTAGAGATTTTGAAATGACGTGCATAAAGTTCCCCCGTAATATATCTGACTCAGAGAAAACTGGCAAAATCTGAGCTCTGCTGCTGAGGGGAGGGGGCCCTGCCCTAGGAATATCCTATTTGAGAAAGAGATAGCTGTGGCCCAGTCCCCAGTCACCTTCCATATGCCTTAAGATATGGGAAGGTGTGGGATGCTTTTGGAAAGGTCGCTGGGAAGCAGCTCTTTCCAGGCTGCCCAGAAGCATGAAGGGCCAGTATCTTGCCTCAACAACTTGCTTCCAGAAGTGGGGATTTTGGCAGGTACAGCTCATGATCTCCTGCAATCTGCACAGTTGAGAAAAACTGCAGCAGCTGAATGGTTTTTTGCGCTTACTCATAAACAGGGCTCTGTTTTGCCACAGGTTTGCACACACATGCATAGCCTTTAAAAGCATTAAAGGGAATCTGAGACAGGGCCTTCTGGTATTGGCACTGAGGCTTGGTGTTCTCTCTCCCAGGTGATGGTGTTCATGCCAACACCATTAATCCAATGTGTACTTCCATGCGCAGTCACTTTTCCAACTCCAGGAAAAGGCCATGAATGTTTGTGAGAGGCTGTTCAGTATTTAATAAGTTCACCCTTAAGCTCTCCTTCCCTTGCCGATCTTTTTTCTTTTTGCTGGCTTTTGGTTTCTGTGTACTATTGCTTAATTGATTAATTAGCTGTTTAGATACTGTGTGATAGTTTTCATTTTAATTTGCATATTTGTGTGCACATGCATTTAAAATATTGGTATCTGCCTTCAATATCTTTGATTAAAAAAAACAAGATATACAGATTTAAATAAATGACTAATCACACTCTTAGGGCCAACAAAATGATTTTTTTTTTTTTGCTTGAATGAAGCCATGGGAAGGGGTTGGTTTGGATTGTAGCCACAGAATTAGGATGAGGGGGATTAACCGCTTACCCCCTCAGTGGGCTCCTCAGTTTAAATCAACCCCCTCTCCAATGCTGCTAGCTGTGAAGGAAAAATAAGATGGGGATATAAATGCGAAAAAATCAATATACAATTGTGATCCACTATTGTCAGGATTTACCCAGCGTTTATGTTCAAAAAGAGAAAGAGAAGCAGCATGGATCAAGGCCCTGTGGCTGCCTGGTCTTCTTATCTGGAATAATTTTCATTCTATTCTCATGTCTGACCACATGCAAATAAACATGCACAGATACGTTTGTCTTTATTCCTGTTTCTGTTCCAGCGCATAACCCTAACCCAGGCCCAGAATGATGTAGTGGTTAGAGTGTTGGACTAGGACCAAGGAAACCCAAGTTTAAATCCCTCCTCTGGTTGCTGTGTGATTGAGGGCCAACCTCTGTACCTCAGCCTAACTTACTTCAGAGGGGTGTTACGAGGATAAAAAAGGGGAAAACATATGGCAGTATGACTGCCCTGGAGGAAAGAAGTGATATACAATGTGTCCAATATAAGGCCATCCAAAGTCATGATCCCTTTCACCAAAGACTGGGCCAAACACAGCACAGTGTGACCAGATTACGCTCCAAGAAGGAAACCCTCCCTCACTTTCCCTCAGCCTTTGTGAGCTGATCATTAGTCAGAAAGGAGCATGTTACTCCTATCCCTCTGTACGCCCGCTGCAACTGGTATAAGAGGCACACCATGCCGCGAATTTAGATACAAAGGAGGAGAGTTTCCTTGGCCTGCCTCTGAGTATGTAAATGTACCAAGTGAACCTCCTTCCCTCCCTTCCCTTCACTCCTTGTCTGCTTCTGTCTCCCATTCCCAGGGTGCGTGGGAGGTTTGCTAAATAAATGATCAAGCCTGCAGTGCAAACTCAAAGACGCCGTCGCTTTAGCATTCGAATGGAAATGCTGTAAACAATGTCTGCTCATGGCAAGTCCTTCCAGCCCCTTTCCCATTTCCCTACCGCCATCACCCGTGATGGACTCATCAGCACTGGGGTCCGCGTTTCATGAGCGCCTACTTTGCTGGAGCAAAAGCGTTCATTTCAGGCAAAGATCAACAGGGAGGGAATGATTTGTCTTGCCAGTCTGCAGCAGAGCCACCGACTGACAGGAATGCATGCTGGACACGGGCTCTGCACTACCACACTCTCAGCTACGTTCATGGGATCCTCTTTTAAGCTACACATTCAGACAATTGTCCCAACTCTCTACTACAGTGGCCATGTCTTCTACTTTAAAGAGAACAGTTCTCTATTCGAAGGCATTCCCTGTTTGAAGGGTTCTCTGGCCCAAATCTATTTTAAAGACAGAGACCCATACTAAGAAGGTCTTGAAGCTGGCCATTAACCTGGGCAGCAGAGCTGAGCAGGTCCATAGGCCATCATCTTCCCCACTATGGCAAGGTGACTCATATTTTATTTCCGGATTTGGATCTGCATTTGTACATTGCCACATGCAAACTGAATCACTGCCCTCTTGTGTTCGCCTTTTTGGTGATGTGCAAGTAGACTCCCTACCATCCTGGGTGCTTCCAGACAGAGGGCTCTTTGTGCTATTAATCAAAAGACATTGAGTTCCCACTAGATGACAGAATCATACAACAAACCATGCTCTAGGCTGAAGATGAGTGGAATGAGGCTTGTTGAACCATGTGTTGTTGTGTGAACCTGGGTGTGATTATAAACCATGGTTTGTTAACCAGAAATAACCCAAAGTTCATGGCACAACATGGGTTCTCTTGGTGGGCTGTTCATGGTTAAAAACATGATTTGTTACCACAGCTGGGTCCCCACAACATATCAACAACAACCCACAGTCAATCCATACTCACTCTGGGTCATGCTGTGAGAACCAGCAATAATGCAGTTATTCTGTCTTTCCCCCACTTAATGAATCTTTTTTCTGATAAAGAAAAAAGGTAGAAGCAAGTGTTTGGAAACATGGGAAGGGTACAGGTAGAACGTTACAA